TTAAAAAATCTGGAGACAACAGATGCTGGAGAGGATGTGGAGAAAAAGGAACACTTTTACACTGTTGGTGGGAGTGTAAATTAGTTCAACCATTGTGGAAGACAGTGTGGCGATTCCTCAAGGATCTAGAAATAGAAATTCCATTTGACCCAGCAATCCCATTACTGGGTATATATCCAAAGGACTATAAATCGTTCTACTATAAGGACACATGTACACGAATGTTCATTGCAGCACTGTTTACAATAGCAAAGACCTGGAATCAACCCAAATGCCCATTGATAATAGACTGGATTGGAAAAATGTGGCACATATACACCATGGAATATTATGCAGCAATCAGAAATGATGAGTTTGTGTCGTTTGTAGGGACATGGATGAATCTGGAGAACGTCATCCTCAGCAAACTGACACAAGAACAGAAAATGAAACACCGCATATTCTCACTCATAGGCGGGTGATGAAAAATGAGAACACATGGACACAGAAAGGGGAGTACTAAACACTGGGGTCTATTGGGGGGAAAAGGGGAGGGCCAGTGGGAGGGGGAGGTGGGGAGGGATAGCCTGGGGAGAAATGCCAAATGTGGATGAAGGGGAGAAGGAAAGCAAAGCACACTGCCATGTGTGTACCTACGCAACCGTCTTGCATGCTCTGCTCATGTACCCCAAAACCTAAAATCCAATAAAAAATTTTAAAAAATAAAAATAAAAAAATAAAAGTAATGGGAAAAAAATCACAATTACTTTTCCACCAACATAATACGAAGAGTTGAATTCTCTATATAAAAAATATTCTTTCCCTGGATAAAAAAATATGTGCATACTGCATGCCGAGTTGTAGAAATAATGTTCTCAAACCTAATGGACCAATATCAGATCCTGGGTCTTTGTAACCTCATCAGTTAAGCAAGCAAATAGTACTTCATCTGTCTTTAGAATTAATTTTTGTGTAATGAATTTTGAGTTTTTCCAGTTATATCGTTTACAGAGGTTAGGTTGTACTCATTAATAGAGTTTTTCTGATAGGAAGCGTATACATAACCTCTTAAACAAAGTCAAAAAAGGAAGAGGGCACCTCATCGCTGGTCAGAATTCATGTGGGCCAGGACTAGAGGAAACATCAGACACAAGAAAGAAGCGAAGTTCCAGGTTATTTGCTGATTCTTTCTGGTCCATGTGCATCTCTTTGGCATGTCACACAGACATTCTAGTAGAAACGTTATAGTACCAAGATGCATTTTTATATTTCATGTTAATCTGATACTTTTAAAATATGGATTCCAACGAACCTCATCAAAAAGTCTGTTACCCACATTAAAGTGGTCTGTTTACCAGGATCCATAACACCACTGTCACCACTCCCAAAGACATGCCAACATGACTCAGCAAACCAGGGCACGCAGGATTCTCTGACCGATATGGGCACAATCCATCAACATACTCCAAGTACTCACCAGTAGCTCTCTTTATCCAAGAAAAATGCCATATGGAATGACCAATGTTAAGACAGTTTATAGGTGTTATCAAAAGAACAGATTTTTCTTTCTACTCTAAACCATTTTTCATTATCTAGAGCAGGGGTATCAAATTTGGCTTTCTTGTGCCACATTGAAAGAGTTAGTTGTCTTGGGCCACACATAAAATAGCCTAACACTAACCATAGCTGATGCACACACAGACATAAAGAAAACCTCATAATGTTTTCAGAAAGTTTTGTGTTGGGCCATGTTCAAAGCCATCCTGGGCCATGGTTGGAGAAGCTTGATCAAAAGTATATCTACTTCTCTTCCAATTTTTAAATATCTTTTCCAAGGAAATTTTTTTCAACCTTGAAGTGCTGAAATATTATCAGTTGGTCATTTGATATCTCATTATAATTTATCATTATCTAATTTATCAAGCTGTGTTTTCTGAAGGCCCCAACCTAGAAGTAGATTTCAAAACCCTATGCTTGGCCGGGCATGGTGGCTGGCACCTGCAATCCCAGCAGTTTGGGAGGCTAAGGCAGGAGGACTGCTTGAGCTCAGGAGTTTGAAACTAGCCTGGGCAACACAGCAAGATTACCTATTAACACAGCAACATAGCAATATTATCTATTAGAAAATAAGAATAGGAATTGGAAGTAAAGCAGATCTTTGTTCTCACCATCAAAAAATAAGAATAGAAAAAATAGAAATAAAAAAGAATAAAAAAACACTTCTATTCTTCAGGCATCAAATTCTTTTTCATCCTTGAGGGCCTTGGGAAAACAATTATCTCTTCTTTTGTAAATTTTCCGATTGTGACAGACAGAAAAAACAACATAAAAATTAAGACATTTGTGATTATGTAAATGATGGTAGCATTATTATTGCTGACTATGGTATAAATGCATTAAGTATTTCCTTTTAAACCAAATGACCCATGTTCGTTAAGTATTTTTTTTTTTTTTTTAGGCGGAGTTTCACTCTTGTTACCCAGGCTGGAGTGCAATGGCGCGATCTCAGCTCACTGCAACCTCCGTCTCCTGGGTTCAGGCAATTCTCCTACCTCAGCCTCCTGAGTTGCTGGGACTACAGGCACGCACCACCATGCCCAGCTAATTTTTTGTATTTTTAGTAGAGACGGGGTTTCACCATGTTGAGCAGGATGGTCTCGATCAGTTGACCTCGTGATCCACCCGCCTCGGGCTCCCAAAGTGCTGGGATTACAGGCTTGAGCCACCGCGCCCGGCCTCTTTAAGTATTTTTATAAGATTACTGGATGCCTGTCTAGGTAAGAAGACTATGGGATTAAAGTCAAAGTTTGAAGTGTCAGCATTTTGTAGTAAGTCATATTAACAAATATTAAAAATCATGATTCCTGTCTTCATTTGAATGCTGTCAGGGGGAAGTCTTGTGTCTCTCTGTATTGTTCATATTAAAAATGCACATTTTCTTAGAGGACCGCAAGACACAATGAAAGATGCTCTTATGATGACTGTGATTCAAATCAGTCTTTCTCCAAAATCTAAAATGTAGCAAACGTGAGTATCAGATAAATCTGCAACCACCCTTTGGTACTTGCTGATGTAATGACACAGAACACAGACCTTGGTGTGGAAGGTCAAATCCTACACTTGCCACATTCTAATTGTGCAAATCTCAATGAGCACAACTCACTGAGATTTAACTTCTGTGACCTTTGCTTTCCTCAGCTATAAAAATGAAAACCAACAATGGTTTTCTCTGAACTAGATTAATCTAAGAATCAAATCATTTAAAGAAGCAAAAGCTTTTTGCTTAAGCTTGAAAATTCCAAAACCTTTAAGAATAACTATCATTATATACTTACATCCCTTGGATAACAACACTGATTATTGTAAAAATGTTGATTCTTTACTCATCAATCTAGGAGTTCCTCTATAATTTCAAAGTCTAAAGATGCTGTTTTCCTGTGATGAAATAGTCCTAGGAGCTTATGTATGTGTAAGGTGAACAAGCTAACCACTGCACTCCAGAACTCTGAACATAAAGCTTATGTGGATACAGAGGAAAACTAGATGGATAATTTGGGGAAAAGAAGAAAGAGAAAGACGAAAGAAAGAAAGAAAGAAAAAGAAAGAAAGAAAGAAAGGAGGAAAGAAAGAAAGAAAGAAAGAAAGAAAGAAAGAAGGAAGGAAGGAAGGAAGGAAGGAAGGAAGGAAGGAAGGAAGGAAGGAAGGAAGGAAGGAGAGAGGACTTTCTGCAACTAGGTATAAAAGCCTATTACAAAGCTAAAATAATGAAGGCAGCGTGCCCTGGCATAAAATATACATAGAAAGATCAATGTAGCATACTATTAGTAGAATCCCTGAAGCTAATCTACTGTAATTAATTCAAATCCCCAAGGACATTTGGAATAAGCAAAGATATTTCTGGGTGTCTCCAGCAGAGGACTACGCATTGTTTATAGTACATCCTTCCGGGTTTTCTGATGTTAGCCTTCCACTGCCTTTGAGCTATTTCATAACTCTGTTATAGAGAATGGAAAACAAGGCAGAGAACTAATAACGATACCAAGAAATGATAATAATGCAATTGATTCTTGTCTATCAACATGCAAATGAATTCTGTTTTCTGGAGGGCAATCAATGACATGATTTGCTGAAATTAAGGACCACGCTCGGTGAAATTTCCAACCAACCAGAATGCAATCTTCTCTTAATTTACACAGCTATTGCTTTCCTAGAAACTTCATTGTACACTAAGCTAATGTGATCAATACTCTGTTTATATGTAGAGTGGAGTTAATTATAGGTTCCAATAATTACATACAGGGACTTCATTTATTTGAATGCCCAAGAGATTTTTGAAAATCATGTATGTCATATAACAGGTCTTTGCTGTGGGGATATCCTGTGGATGGCAGGATCTCCTATCCTTGCCCCTGTCTAATAGAACCAGTAGTGCACAACCAAAAACCACCTCTACAAATTGCCAAGCGCCCCACAGGGGCAGTAACCACCACCTGGAAAGCCACTATTTATGTTATGTTATGTTGTTATGTTATGTTATGTTATGTTATGTTATGTTATGTTATGTTATGTTATGTTATGTTATGTTATGTTATGATGATGTATGTTATGTTATGTTATGTTATGTTATGTTATGTTATGTTATGTTATGTTATGTTATGTTATGTTATGTTATGTTATGTTATATGTTATGAGACAGAGTCTCACTCTGTTGCCCATGCTGGAGTGCAGTGGTGCAATCTTGGTTCACTGCAGGTTCAAGCACTTCTTGTGCCTCAGCCTCCCAATAGCTGGGATTACACATACACCCCACAATGTCTGACTAATTTTTGTATTTTTAGTAGAGATTGGGTCTCACCATGTTGCCCAGGCTGGTCTCAAACTCGTGACCTCAAGTGATCTGCCCACCTCAGCCTCCCAAAGTGCTGGGATTACAGGGGTGAGTCATCACACCCGGCAAGAGAGAAATCTCTTTCGTGCCCCCTGTTGACGTGGCAGAATAAACACAGAAGCACTCAGAGTTGTTGACATTGTTTTATTAGGGAAATAAACAGTAGCTGTGTGGGGACTGGAAACAAAACTCATAGAAAAGATGGGAAATGGTACCCACACAGGTGCAGACAAGTAGAAACACAAAGATGGAAGCCATGTGAATACCCAGGAAACAGAATGCTTGGTATCATCACCCTCTTGGCTGGCTCAGCGAGCCAAATGGACTGATCCTTAAGGATGAGTCTGGGGTTGTATTTTGATAATGGCCATTTTCTATATGGATTTTTTTAATAAAAATATTTTAAACCACTGGGTTCAAAGAGGGGGTTATAGAATCCAAAAGAGCAAGTCCCTGGACACCCAGGTGATACCAAATAGGGAGGTCTGAGAGAGAAGCAGACAGGGGTATGGGGGAAAGTCTCATTACCTGGAGAAAGGACCCAGCACTTCAATCTAGAAGCAGAGTCAGGCCGGCCTTCTAGCAGCAGCATTGCTTCTGGCAGCAGCACTTCTGCTGGCAACAGCCCTTGCCACAGCCCTTCCCACAGCCACAGCCACACGAGCTGCAGGTGCGGCGGCAGCAGCAGATCACAGGTGTGCTGCAGCAGCCCCCACAGCAGCCGCGGCAGCAGGGGCAGCAGCTGGAGCAGCAGCCCACCCGGTAGCACCTGCAGGTGGTGCAGCTGCCACAGCCACCACAGCCACCACAGCCACCGCAGCCACCACCACAGCCACCGCAGCCACCACCACAGCCACTGCAGCCACCACCACAGCCACAGCCACCACCACGGCCACCACCGCAGCCACCACAGCCACAGCAACCCATGGTGTCAGTAGAGAGGTCTCAGGTGAAGTGAGGAGGGAGGACTCAGGAGAGGTGTGGCTGTCTGATGCCTCCTTCCACTAGGGGAGGCCTTTATGTACCATCCTGAGGAGGATGATGATGGAGTGACCCGGGGCACATGACAAATAGCTACTTCCTTGTTACTATTTATTTCAGTGTGTGTAAAAGAATCTAGAATCCTTTCTCACTATATCCACTCTGGAAACATTAGTTACTTTTTAGAAGAAAATGTTCTAAAATTTTAAAGCTCCTATTTACAAATTAGGAACCGGGTTTCAAAGATTAAAAAAAAAAACTCAGAAGGTGTGATATACAAGAAAAGGGGATATGAATGCCTTCTGACTCAGTAGGAGATGGGGAGAAGAAGAAAAAGGAAAATAGAGGTAGGAGAAATATGTTGATGTGTATCTTATCCTCTTTCTGGGATAGCCTGCTCAATTAGAGAGAGTGACCCCCGAGCCTCCCCCAGATCCCATGTGGAATGGAAGAGACCCAGAACATCTCCCTGCAAAATGGAACAGAGAGGACAGCTGAGGGAGCTGGCTGATGAGGTACCAGGGTGTCACCACAGCAGGAGTGAAATTATCAGGGAACCAAGGGCCCCAGGGAAGCCAGGCAGGACTAGGGTCAGTGGAGAAGGCAGCCCATCTTCCAGGCTATTGGCAGCACCAGCGAGAACCAGATAGAGACTGTGTTCTCAAGGAAGGGCCATGACGTCTTGACTGGGGTCAGAGAAGAGATCTGTGGGCCACTTAGCTATATTCCATTATCATATCCACAGATTGTATCTAAATATTCCTGTTGTCTTCTGCACCATTGGTTGGCAGATTGACTGGATAGGGAAATGTGTATTACTCAAGGCAAACTATCACCATCTTTAGACACACAATTGAAAGTACATGTCCTTCTGATAAGCAATAACATGGAAACATCATTCATGGTACATTGTGTAACCCATACTCAAGGTATTTAACTTGCAAAGAAGAAGATGGTGCCATGGATGGATAAAATAGAATTCTAGAAATTACAGAAATAACTTGTGTAGTTGAAATACATTATGTGATGTACCAACTAGACTTTCCTTTGAATTTTGAATTATGTTAGAGTTACCATCTGTTATGGACTGAATTGTGTCCTTCCAAAACTCATATATGAAAGCCCCAACTCCCGATGTGATTGTATTTGGAGACAGGGCCCTTAAGGACATAATGAAGGTTAAATAACGCCACAAGCATGGTGCCCTAGTCCTACAGGGCTCATGTTCCTATAAAAAGAGAAAAAGATTCCAGAGCTGTTACTGTCTGACAGAGAAAAGGTCATGTGAAGACACAGTCAGAAGGCAGCTATCTGCAAGACTGGAAGAGAAGTCTCACCAGAACCTACTCCTGATGCCATCTTGATCTTGGACTTAGTTTCCAGAACTTTGAGAAAATGAATTTCTGTTGTTTAAGCCACCCCATCGGTTGTTATTTTGTTACAGCAGTCCAAGCTAACATACTGTCTTCCTGGTGTCTCCCACTACAGTCCTAAAGTTTAAGCCTCAATTCAGATTACAGGGAAATCTCAAGAACAAGTATTAGATCTTTCATCAGTTTCTGAAGATGAACAAGTCTTTGTCTGTGCCCTCAAGGTATTGAATGAAAAAGTATATATTACTTGACAGAATGAGACTATAAGAACAATTGTCTGTTAAAAAAGAGATCCGGGTATCTTTCTTAGTGACACATGAGAGTGAAGTTTCTTTTTTCCTTTTCCTTTTTTTATTCTTTTTTTTTCTTTTGAGACAATCTTGCTCTATTGCCCAGGCTGGAGTGCAATGATGTGATCTCGGCTCACTACAACCTCTGCCTTCCAGGTTCAAGTGATTCTCCTGCCTTTGTCTCCTGAGCAGCTGGGATTACAGACACGTACCACTACACCTAGCTAATTTTTTTTTTTTTTTTTTTTTTTTTTTTTTGTATTTCTAGTAGAGACGGGGTTTCACCAGGTTGGTCAGAAGACGGCGAGATATAAATGTTTGGCCAGGTGGGTCTCAAACTCCTGACCTCATAATTTTCCCACCTCAGCCTCCCAAAGTGCTGGGATTACAGGCATCAGCCACTATGCCCAGCCTACGAAGTTTCTTATATAGTCAGTGACATATTGGGTTCAAAGAAATAAAAGAAGATAATGTAAATATGACAAAGGAACACAAGACTATCAATGGTGACCAAGAAAATTTGCAAAAGGACCAAATTTCCAGAAGGCGAAGAAATAAAAAATGAAACAACTAAAGATAAAAACTCAATGTACAGGTTAAAAAGTTTGCTAGACACAGCTGAAGAGAAATTTGGTGATGGAAAACAGCTCAATAAATTACTCAGAATTCAGCACAGAGACGCAAAGAGGTTTAAAAATATGAAAAGTAAAAAAAAAAAACATAGTTGAAAAAGGGAAGATTATTCACAGTGGTCTCAAGAAGAGATGTCGCTCCTTATCTTAGGAGGCATTTGGAAAAGTATGAAATCACTTTCGTCTGAATGACAGTTAGTATCTGGGACCCAGGAATATAAATTGTCCTGTAATGTAAGAAATAGTCTCCACAATAAATGATTTTTCCATTGAAATTTGCAATAGTGCTTCTGTGGAGGAACGTTAACAAGTGTCTAACTGAAACTACAGAAGAAGAGGATAAAATGGAGAGGTAATATTCAAAGATAATGATCAGTAATTTTTTGAAGTGATATAAGATGCCAATGCTCAAATTCAAATGTCTCAACAAAACTCAAGTTACATAAAAATCAAAGAAATTCCAACTACACACCTCCTGGTAAAACTAAAGAGCAACAATAACGATAACAAAAATCTAAAAATAGCCAGAAAGAAAAGGACGATTACAAAGGAATGAGCGTGAAACCAAAAGTAGATGTCTCAACCCAGTGGAAGTCAGAAGACGGCGGGATATAAATGTCAACCTAGGATTGTATCTAAAAGAAAGGCTCTTTCAAAGGTTTTGGGGAAATAAAAATGCTTTCAGAAAAACAAAAATGGAGCATTTAACACTAACAGACCTTCTCTGAAGGAATTTCCATCAAAAGATGTACTTCAGGAACAAGGAAATGATCTCACAGGGAAGGTCTGAGACCTGGAGAAGGAAGGTGTTGAACAAAGGAACGAGTAAACATGGTCATCTGGAGGTCAAATGACCACAAAACAACCACAGTAATTTCTCATCCATGGGGGAAAGAAAAAACAGCACTAAAATACAGGACAACCAGTGCATTTAAGTTAGAAAGGCGGCGGCCTGAGCTAAAGCAGACTAAGATCTTGAAATTATTTGGGAGGAGAATAAGTACACTGACTAACTTCGGACTTTAATAGTTAACCGTGCCTGGCCATTGGCTCACGCCAGGAATCCCAGCACTCTGGGAGGCTGAGGCAGGAGGATCGCTTGAAGTCAGGGTTTGAGACCAGCCTGGGAGAAGTAGCAAGATCCCAACTCTACCAAAAATTTAGCAAATAACTAAATGAAATTGATGGGAAGAAACAGAAAGCATTAATTGTTCTGTAACTATTAAAGAAATCAAATCAGAAGCTTAAAATCTTTTCACACACAAAGAAAGGAAAGAAAGAAGAAAGAAAGAAAGAGAAAGCAAGAAAGAAGAAAGAAAGAGAGAGAAAGAAAAGAAAGAAAGAAAGAAAGGAAAGAAAGAAGGAAGGAAGGAAGGAAGGAAGGAAGGAAGGAAGGAAGGAAGGAAGGAAGGAAGGAAGGAAGGAAGGAAGGGAGGGAAAGAAAGAGAGAGAGAGAGAGAGAGAAAGAAAGAAAGAAAGAAAGAAAGAAAGAAAGAAAGAAAGAAAGAAAGAAAGAAAGAAAGAAAGAAAGAGGACCCAGAAAGGAATAAAAACAAGGAGTAATCAGAAAGAGTTGTTTGTTCAATTTACCAGCCTCCTGTTTCCTCACTGACTAAAGAGGGAATGGGACGGTTTGACACAGTATTTTGTTGGAGCTGCAGATGGATGTGTTCTGTCCGTGCCTCTTATTTAAGAGGTACAGACTAGTGGTTCAGACAGCCAACTCTCCTGTCAGCCTTTCCTGCCTCAAATCCCTGCACCCTGCATGACTCTCCCTGCCTAACTTCAGGAAAGTTACTTAACATCCTTGTACCTCAGTTTTCTGGCCTATAAAATGGGTGGTCCTACTTCCCGGGATCATCGTGAAGATTAAAAGAATACTTAGCAGGCTGGGCACGGTGGCTCACGCCTGTAATCCCAGCACTTTGGGAGGCTGAGGCGGGTGGATCACGAGGTCAAGAGATCGAGACCATCCTGACCAACATGGTGAAACCCCGTCTCTACTAAAAATACAAAAAATTAGCTGGGCATGGTGGCACGTGCCTGTAATCCCAACTACTAAGGAGGCTGAGGCAGGAGAATTGCCTGAACCCAGGAGGCGGAGATTGCGGTGAGCTGAGATCACGCCATTGCACTCCAGCCTGGGTAACAAGAGCGAAACTCCGTCTCAAAAATAAATAAAAATAAAAAATAAAAAAGAATACTTAGCACAAAGCCAGGTATGGTGACTCACTTCTGTAATCCCAGCACTTTGGGAGGTTGAGATGGGCAGATCACTAGAGGCCAGGAGTTCGAGACCAGCCTGGCCAACATGGTGAAACTCTGTCTCTATTAAAAATACAAAAATTAGCCAGATGTGGTGGCATAGGCCTGTAGTCCCAGTTACTCAGGAGGTTGAGGCAGGAAAATCATTTGAAGCCAGGAATCAGAGGTTGCAGGAAGCCAAGATCATGCCACCATGCTCAGCCTGGGTAACAGAATGAGACCACGCCTCAAAAAAAAAAAGTGTCAGTACCATATAGATGGTAAGTGAAGCCAGAACAGTGATGAAACCACCTAGAAAGAGGGTATAAAATGAAAAGAGGAGAGGAGAGAATCAAGGATTTTTTTGTTTTGTTTTGAGATGGAGTCTCACTCTGTCACCCAGGCTAGAGTGCAGTGGCACAGTCTCGGCTCACTGCAATCTCTACCTGCTGGAT